CTTGATGTTTTGTTTATTCATTGTTACCATTTAAATTTACTCAAATAAAATAATAACTAAAAATAAAGCGTTTGTAAAACATGCGTTTGCCGTTATTCTAACCCCACATTTTAAGAATAATTTTCACGTACTTATAAAGAAAAGTAAACAATTTTATATGTAGGACTAAGCAAGTAAATGTTATAAGAATATTTACATGTGGAATTATATATAAAAAAGTTAGTATTTTCGTAGATTTCAGTACCTAAAACCTTGATGGTTTGATCGATTTTTGCACCTGTTTATTCGTTTTACTGCGGCGTCTTTGAAAATACCCAGATGGCATGACATAACATTCCTATTATTTGATAAGCTTGATATTATTCAGTTATTAAATGTTTGAAATTATTTGTCTTTGTGGAAAACACTATTTAAAGAATATGGGGCCCTTAAAGTTTAAAGTAAATATTTTTTGAGTAATTAAAAAAAGAGTAAATGTAATCAAAGACTATGGGATGTGCTTGAATATTTTTACATAATATAGTATAATCAGGTGCTATTGTCGCAAGTTGCAATCGCATTAAACGCATTGCGATACTTTGTTTTTGTCGCTACGTACGTGGAAAATAATTTTTCGCACAGGTACGTAGTTACAAAAGGCATTAATACATTTATTGCCTGGTCAGCAATTTCAGGATATTCCTTATAAATCTCTAGCAAAAATCAAGGGAAAGGCGACGTAACCAACGCGAAGAACGCTGCGCCAGCTTATACGTTATAAGCCGACTTACTTGCACTTGCATAAATAGATAAAGCTCGTATAGTATCTTATACGCGTGTACTTATAATAATAAAAAGTTTGAACAGTATACATTTTTTTGAATTTTGTAATTAATCCAGAGAGGTTGTGCGGAACCCCAGGGTTCCGCAGAACACAGTTTGAATACCGCTGATCTAGGTTAATAGACAACATATCAAAAAAATATAATACTCTCTAAGGGTTGGAAACCAGCTACAGACCAGGGTCCCACTTACGCTTTTAAGTCGCACGTATTTTTATTCAATATTTTTGCCTGAAATTTGTAACGCGGGTTTCTGGGGTCGCTGATTACGAATCTGAAGCCCAAATTCGGAAATTCCTGAATAAAAGATGGCGGACCCAATATGGCGGATATAAAAATCGGAAAAGCAATCAAAATTTGAAGATTATGGCTGAAAATCAAGAATATAAGGTTCGAAAATTCTTAAATCCAAAATAACGGACCCATTATGGAGGATTGAAAAGTACTGTAGAAATTGGTATTTACCCAAACAAACGCATTATGAATTGAGTCATTGAATAAAAATACGCAAATGTCTAAAAATGAGAAACAAATCAAAATTATATTTTTAGCTCTAAAATCTTACTCATTTTGCGCGTCTTATATTTCTCATTTAAGCGTATAATATTATCACTCTCTGCTGGGATTGGTAGGAGTTGTTGAAAGGAACATACTTCAAATCGAATCTATATTCTTTGTTTCACATTTTTAGATTTTTGCGTATTTTTACTCAAATGACTCAATTTCTTAAACATTAATAACGCGTTTATTTGGGTGGTAAATACCAATTTCACATTCGGACTTCAGATTCGTAATCAGCGACCCCAAAAGCCCTCGGTAACAAAATTCACGCTAAAATATTGAATAAAAATGTGTAAGCGAGATCCTGGTCTGTAAGTGGTTTTCAATCCTTTGAGGGCTAAGTTATATTCTATTTTTTGGTATATAAAATATAAAGCCATGATTTTTCACATTGTTTGGAACTAACAATCGTTACTTGATCTCAGTTGTGGAAATAATTTGCATATACAGGGTATTAAAAAAAGAGTGTAAAATATTTAAGGAGGTAATAGTATGAACCAAAATAAGCAGAAAAGTATCATTAAACATGGGTCCGCAAAGTAACGGTTCCGGGGATATGGAATGTTTTATGTTTTTATCCCCTTTTTTTATTTTGCAAAAACGTTGTGTATTTTCTTATAATAGTTGGTTGATGTTGTGCACAAGTTTTCTTTCGCTATGGCTGGTTACTTTAACGCAGAATTAACAGACATGCATTTCATGTATGGTCGTGCTAATGGGAACGCCACCGAAGCGCGACGTCTTTATGTTGACGCTTATCCAAATCGCCAGATTCCTTCACAACGCATGTTTGGAAGAATTCACCAAAGATTGCGTGATACCGGTTCCTTGAGCAAACAGTGCCATTTATCCGGAAGACCAAGGTCGGTATCCACTCCTAGAGCAGAAGAAGAAATTCTAGCACTGGTAGAGCAGAATCCAGGTACGAGTGTGCGGAGAATATCAGCCGAGGTAGGAATTAGTGGTCCTCTTGTTTGGAGAATCCTTCACGAGCAACTGCTTTATCCATACCATGTGCAACGAGTACAGGCCTTAAATCCAATAAATGATCATCAAGCACGTTTGGTTTTTTGCCGCTGGTTTCTACGTCATGATGCTGAAGACCCTCGTTTTCTTGCAAACATTCTTTTTACTGATGAGGCCGGGTTCACAAGAAATGGAGTGTTTAATTTTCACAATACGCATATTTGGGCCGACGAAAATCCTCATGCTCTAATAGAATCTGGACATCAGGCACGTTTTTCATTAAACATTTGGATGGGTATTGTAGGTGACAGGTTTCTAGGTCCTGTTGTTTTACCAAACCGATTAACAGGCGCTGCTTACCTCAACTTTCTGCAGAACACACTGTATGAGTTTTTGGAAGACATTCCTTTGAATCAGAGGCAACAAATGTGGTTCCAGCATGATGGTGCTCCAGCTCATTTTTCCATGGCCGTTAGAGAGCATTTACACCAAACTTTTCCACATAGATGGGTAGGAAGGGCCGGACCTGTTTTATGGCCTCCAAGATCGCCTGATCTGAACCCTCTAGATTTCTTTGTTTGGGGATATTTGAAGACATTAGTGTATGGTACTCCTGTAAATAGCCTGGAAGAGCTGCAGCTACGGATTAATCAAAAGTGTCAAGAAATCCAAACCAAGGAGGGTGTTTTCGAAAGAGTTCGAATATCGTTGAGACGAAGATGTCGTGCCTGCTTGGAAATGGACGGAGGGCACTTTGAACATCTTCTGTAACTTTGTTTTTTGTTTGTTAAAAGCTTCCTTTGTCGGTTTATTCCTAATAAAATAAAATGTTTGAAAAACGAATAGTGGTCCATATCTCCACAACCGTTACTTTGCGGACCCATGTTTATTAAGACTTTTCTGCTTATTTTTAACACCCTGTATTTCTTTCCAATGCTCAAAATATTATTTTAAAATACTTTCTTAAAGTATTTACAAATTGTTACATTTCATTATAACGCTTAACATCTGTATTTTACCCTATTTCAGGGGATATTTTAGCGTTCTAACGAGCGTTCAAATAAAAACGTGGTCGAAGTTGGCTCTGACACATTGGACGTAGGAAGTAGCTTATAGCGACCAACTTAACCTCATTTCTCAACGAGCTGTATAGCAGCTGTCAGTTTCAATAACGTTAATGACTATATAACTTTATTTTAAAGAATAATCGTGATAACAATAACAAACAATTAAAGGAGCTGCGGAAAGTGTCCCCCTCCTTGTTATAACAATAAATTAAAGCAGCTGCTGAAAGTGTCCCCCTCCTTGTTCCAAGCACTTTTCACACCTGTTCCTCAAAGAATTAAAGACATTTTCTAAGATGCTCGGGGTATTGTTAATTTCACGAATCTTGTCTATAAGTCGAGCCTGCAGATGGTTTAAATCAGGAATAGGCAGTTCAAAAATAGTGTTTTTAAGGTAAGGCCACAAAAAGAAATCACACGGCGTAATATCACATGACCTCGGTGGAAATTCATGTTCAGCATTGAGACTTATTAGTCGATTTTGGAAAACTTCCCTCAACATATTCATCGTCTCGCCTGCCGTATGTGCCCTTGCGCCATCTTGTTGAAAGTAAAAGTTTGTAATTTCGTTTTCTTCCAGCTGGTTAACAAAAGGAGCGATAATTTCTTCTCTATACCTTTGCGCAGTAAGAGTACCATTAAAAAAAATAGGTCCATAAATCCTCCTTCGATTGAGAGCACACCAAACTCCAATTTTTTGAGCGTGTAGAGGGCCCTCGACAAAAAAGTTATCTGGTTTTTCAGAAGACCACATTCTCATATTCTGTGAGTTTACGTAACCACTTAAATGAAACCAGGCTTCATCAGAAAAAAAGGTGATATTATGAAGTTCACCGTAGTTGTTTAAAAACCATTCACAAAATACAGCCCGTCGCGGAAAATCAACTTCATGAAGTTCTTGCTGACAAGTTAAACGATAGGAGAACAAACGCAAATCTTTTTTTAACACTGTGTGGCAGGTACCGACTGATACTCCCACCATTTGTGATAAAACACGTACAGAAGTTCTTGGCGCATTTTCCATTATTTGTTGGACATTTTCTTTTAATTCTTCAGTCCGCTTTTTAGGTCGGCCGCTTCCTTCTTTTCTTGTTACACTGCCCGTTTCACGAAAAACATTAACACAACGCTGAACTGCACTTTGAAAAATTTTGTACTCAACAACGCCGGGAAATTGATTTTGAAATTCTATGAAACATTCCTCAATAGAATACTTCCATATTCCATCAATCTTGCGTCCATTTCTAAAGTAGGACTCTATGATAAACACTTTTTGTTCTTGAGAAAACACCATTTTAAACGCTTTTTAAAACGAAAATATTCAAATTGATAGCGGCGATATAGCGCTTTGACAGATGACGTTTAAGTTCATTTGCTATACGCTACGCCCTACGTCCAAATTTTCAGAACCAACTTGACCACGTTTTTATTTGAACGCTCGTTATTAAAAAGTGCCCGAATAAATCGGTTTTTAGGCTTTGGGTTCGGATTCATCATCGAAAAATATACAAAATCTATGTACTCATATCTCTGGTACAGAACTTGCTTTTTGTGTGACTGTAGGTAATTAATTACATCTATATTTCAGTACCGAGATTTAACGACAAAACTGGCAGATCCCAACCGTTTACGTAGCAAACCAGAAGTGACTGAGCTAAAGTTCGGACAGTTCTTCACAGACCACATGCTAAAAATCTTCTACCACAAACAGCTGGCAGGCTGGCAGAAACCTATAATAATTCCCTTCGAGAATATTTCTCTCCATCCAGCAGCGAAGGTCCTACACTATGCCATAGAGGTAAAACCTACTCAATATCTAGCAAGATATACATCATATTTTGAGCTTGTACAATTAGCAGATTTTCCAACAAAAAATTTTTTAAGAATGCAATAAAGCATTTATTTTAACTATCTTAATGTAAATTAGGTATCTACTGTCATTTTGCAATATAAAATATTACATTTAAATCCTTAATTTTCGTAGTAATAGTTTCATATTAATTTTAGCTTTTTGAAGGTCTGAAGGCCTACAGAGGCGTAGACGATAAGATTCGAATATTCCGGCCAGAACAGAACATGGTCCGCATGAACAAATCGGCATTTAGTTCAGGTCTGCCAACGTTCGATGGGTACGAACTGATCAGATGTCTCAACAGACTGATCCAAGTCGACCAAGAATGGGTTCCGCATGGAGAGGGCAGCAGTCTTTATATTCGACCTACCCTGATAGGCATTGATGTAAGTTTCTTATATGACCTTCTTTAAAAGCAACAAATGACGATTCGGTACCTATACTTACAACGGGGTCGCTTTCTTATTTTTACATAGTTTATATTTAATAGATTGATAATAACAAATTAGCAGGGCATTAAACGGTGAAGGCATAACGGGTGTTATAGGATAACAAGTCGACGTACAGATCTCAGGACAAATACACTGTTGACCTCGGCATATTACTATCCATGTAATTCTAGACATCTTAATTATTCTATTGAAATGGAGGCACATCTTAAGAGATGAAGTAAAAGTAAAAGTCGAAGAAGTCTGTAGTATTTCCGATGATATTATTAAGTTCTCGGGGGGACATGCAAGGGTGTTTACTTACTGCATTACTTACTACATTAAAATTAAATTAAATGTTTGGTTCGATACCGTCGAAGATCACCTTCTCGGACCTTTTGAACTTCCAGCAACATTGAATGGACATGACTTAAACTTCCTCCAGTAGAACTTAGTCGATCTGCTAGATAATGTTCCTCTAAATATTAGGGCTAGTATGTGGCATTTATACAGGATGCGCCCCTGTTCATTCTACTTTAGCAGTAAGAAATCATTTAAATAACGTATTCCCCCGTATCGATGGATTGGACGAGGTTGTGAACGAGCCTCCACGAAGTCCAAATTTGAATCCTCTGAATTTCTACTTGTGGGAATATATTAAAACTCATTCTGGTCCTACTATTAGTACCAAAAATGGCTTATGGCAAAGAATAGTGGCAGCAGCAAATGTTATTAGGCATATCCTTCCGACATTCTTAACAGTTGGAAGAAACTTAAAGAAATGTCAAAAATGAATTGAAGTAAAAGGCGGACATTTCGAAAATCAAATATAAAAGAAAAATTGTTTTTGCTGTTACATTTAGGTTTAAATGGTTATTTTTTATTTTGTTATTTTTAAATGTGCTCTTTCATGTTATCATATTTTTCTGTGTTTGGTTCCATGTTTACGTTTTCAGTTGTTATAAGAACCACATTACTAACTGTGACAACCTTTTGAATTAATAACACAGCCACACAGAAAAAAAAAGTTTTGTATACTTTTTATGCGACATATATTTTTCGTAGTAATTTGGCCTCCTAAACACGAATCTGGGGTCAGAATTGGCCCATCACGTCACAATTTTTTCCTAACCTCAAAAAACTTGTGAAAAATAGTGAAAATTGATGAAAATTTACTGGGAAAATTTGGAAAAAAATTTATTTCCACATCAAATAGTACATTTTTATGTAAAAGACTCTGCTGAATTCAAATCCACTGTCAGAATTGAGCTAGAACGTGTGGTTTTTTTTCTAACCTCAAAAAACCGAGCAGGAATCGCTATTTTCAAATTCTGAGCGGATTTTGACCAGATTTTGTATAAAGGGGTTTTTTGGGTCGCTGATTACGAATATGAATTCACATTGTAAAAATTCAAGATGGCTGATCCAATATGGCGGGTGTACTTTTTTGAAATCCACCGATTTCAGTAAAATTTGGCATCATAAGGATTGCTGGTTGATCTCACCTTCATTAATCACACATCTGGAGCCAGATTTTCATAAATCAAGGTAAAAGATTCCACTCCGTCTAAAAATGTGACTTCGCTTAAAAAAATGACTTAAGGACTCTACACATGTAATGATGTGTAGTGTGATGTGCTTGTTTCCATGGGACAAGACAAAAAAGTTTCTACTTTATTCTTTCATTTATTTAGTCGTGCATGGGCTTATGGTTTTCCAATCAGATTTTTTTAACTACTATGCAGTTTTCCTATGGCATTTAGATGCTTTTATTTCTTAATAATTTTAAAGTTCAAGGAAAAGGACACATTACTGCCACACAGCACATCACTGCATCTGCTTATGCCTTCAATCTAAAAATGTGACTTTGCCGAAAAAATGCCGCCTACTCGGCCTAAAATTATGACTCTGCCTACAAATTTTACCTTGATTTATGAAAATCTGGCTCCAGATGTGTGATTAATGAAGGTGAGATCAACCAGCAATCCTTATGATGCCAAATTTTACTGAAATCGGTGGATTTCAAAAAAGTACACCCGCAATATTGGATCAGCCATCTTGAATTTTTACAATGTGAATTCATATTCGTAATCAGCGACCCAAAAAACCCCTTTATACAAAATCTGGTCAAAATCCGCTCAGAATTTGAAAATAGCGATTCCTGCTCGGTTTTTTGAGGTTAGAAAAAAAACCACACGTTCTAGCTCAATTCTGACAGTGGATTTGAATTCAGCAGAGTCTTTTACATAAAAATGTACTATTTTCTGTGTGGCTGTGTAATTTATTGTAATTTACGTATTATTTTCAAACTTATTTTATTATGTACCTATTTTAAACATTATTTTCTCTAAAACGGATAGCTTTTTTAAAGCAAATCGAATGCTGTTTTAAAATAACTAATCATTTTCAAAAATATCGATTCTTAAAAAAAATCTGAAGGAAACAATGTAGTGGCAAAGACGCTAGAACGCCTTGTATATTTATCGCAAAAAAACAAGCAGATATTCGTATTTATAACGCCCTGTAGAATTTTACTTGTGGAAGAAAAATATTATACGCTTGAAATGAAGTCCTAAGTTGTTTAATGCTGTGAAGAAAAAAATATTTCAAGCTACCCATGTACTTATACATACAGGGTGTCCGCAAATTTCACCGACAACATTTGACTGCATATTCACGACGATAAATAAATACGATATACGAAAAAAAAGTTAAATTTTTGGTTTTTGAGTTACAAGCCTTCAAAGTTGTCAAAAATAAAACTAATTTAATTAATAACACCCTTACCGATCTCGTTAAAATTTGACACATTTATTTGGACTATTAAGACGTATTATTTCTTAAAGCTTTAGTCAAATCGATATACTGGGTGATAGTTTTCTCCCGTTACCTTTCCCTTTTCCCGGTGGTCGTATTTTTTAAAACGGGCAACATTGAAAAAGTCGTTTTATTTGCTAGTCCATATATTTCAGTTTGCGTAGCAGTGTAAAGGTAAGTTCATGCAGTAGCGATTTGCGAGTTGCGATTAACGATTTTACGATTCATGCGACAAAAATTTAACATTCGTTCATGCACACCTACGCGAAAACTAGTTACTTAAATTAAATTTCTTGTGTTACTTGCCTTGCCATGCCATGCCACAGGCCACAGTCAAGAATTTTAGATATTCTTGGTCCACAGCAAACAAAATTAAATAACATAAAACGTAACATAACCTAAACTCACAAAATATTTTTGTGATTACATACGCAGGATATAAAACAGGACCAAGACATTCATAAATAAACATTCTGCAACGATGAATGTGATAAATAACAGTGATTATCATTATGTTATTTATTGTCAATAGCGTAGAAGATTGTTAATCGCTTGGTATTTTATAAATAAAAAAAAAGTCAGAAAAGTTCTTGTGCCGTGAGAGCGTTATTTTAAAAAAGGAAAGACCAGAGCACTTTTTTTGTAAGTGACAACTGTTTTTTGTATATTTATTTTGAAAACAGAAAATATCCAGAAAAGTGAAAAGTTGAAAAAACAGGCCCCAGAGCGCTTATTATAATTTGGTATTCAAACGAGATTACATAACACTAATAAGTATTTTAATTACTTGCGAATGACGGAACTGGACGGATTGCACATGCGCAGTTTGTCAAAATTATTGCGATAATTGTCAAAAATTATAACCGTTTGTATTTTCCCACCTCCTATACCTATTTAAATTATACGATTCTCCCAATATATTGAAATGAAGAAATTGATATCAATAATATGTATTTTATTTCGACCGATCACATTGAAATCCGCAAATCGCAATTCGCAAATCGCTACTGCACGAACTTACCTTTTAGCCCAGTAAATGAAAAAAATTTGTACAAAAATTCGTTTGAGATTGAAACTTGGTTTAATGGTTAGTTTAGGCAAAATGAAATAATATTTCCCAGAAAGTATCGGTTTAAAACAACAAGATCATTGTTTAAACAATGATTATAATGTAAAAATGATCAAAAATGGAGTTTTTTAGCTGTATTAAAAAGCGCACTCCAACCGGAGTTTTTGCTTTTGTCTATACTTATAGATTTTCAAAAAACGCTTCATTTGAGACTTGCTACATTAAAATCCATTAATAATTTGTTTAAATAATTGCAAAAAAACAGCGAAATTTGAATTTGCTATAAATAGAAGAAAAGAGCATAAATCGTCTCTAAACTGCAGTAAAAGTTTAAACCAAGCAAATTAAATTTTTACACGAAAAAAGTCCTATCCGCTAGATTATTGTAAAATTGTCTAAAGGAACATAATACAAGACATCTCTCATCTCTTGAGTCGAGAACTTTTATTAATTAACTTTTCTATTTAAACAAATAAGTGAGAAATATATAGTTTTTTTTATTATATTTATTACTAATTTTATAAACATAATCAAAATTAATTCAAAAAATATTAATAACATCCATTTTCAATAATAGATATAAATAATGCAATATAATACAATTTAAAATTTTAAATTTTTTCTATTTTTATGAGAAATAATAATTTGAAAATAATTTATGAATTTTTACTTTAATTTTACATATAAATCGTAATTAAATAGCTAACAAAATATTGAAAAAACAAGTTTACTTTGCCTTAATATGTAAAAGAAATAACTTTTTAAATGAACGATAGCTTCATTTATTTATTTAATAATAGTAAAATAATTCCGAAATTGAAATTTTAATTAATATTTCGTTTAACAATAATTTTTGTGACATTTTTGTAAATTAAAAAAAATTAATTATAAAAGATGCATTTTTTCTGGGGTTCAGGGCTATTCTACGAATTCGTAAATATGCCCATTGTTATTTTTTCGTCGAGCTACCCCAGTTTAAAAAAAAAAAAAGTTTCTACGATGAATAGAAGCCGAGATATTGCAAAATTTACAGCGCGCACTTATTTGAACTTTGCATTTAACTTTTCTCGCC